ATTTGTCATTTTGTTTACACAAGTGTAAAACAAAACGGAATTTCATTCAGAAATTTGGAGAGAGATTCTGCTCCTTCCTTAAAGGATGGTCATCCCAGCCCAACTTGAAGACATCCAAATCTGCTTGCAGACGTGGGAGAAAAACATGTCGATCATGGGGGCTCCTCTTCCCTCTATTAAAGACATTTCATCCCAGCGCTGCGTGTCCCGAGCCCGTGACATCATCAATGACCCCTCACCCCCCCACCATGGACTGTTCTCCCTGCTGCTTCACAGCATTCAATGCAGGACCAGCAGGTTCTGCAGCAGCTTCTTCCCCACCGCCATCACACTGATGAACTGATGGAACTCTGCATCACACTGATGACACCAAACCAGCAATACTGCAGATTTATACCATAAATATTAATACTCTGAACTTTTTCACCTAGACTCTTTACATTTGATCACTGCTGCACTTTAATGGAAATGTTGTAGCTGTAATAAACTAAATGTGGTTTTGTAAACACTCAGGGAGGCGCAGGTGAACCTGCTCACTCCTGCTTCCTGCCACTGGTACCGGTTCCTTCCTGCTTCCTGTCACTGGTATCGGTTCCTTCCTGCTTCCTGCCACTGGTACCGGTTCCTTCCTGCTTCCTGCCACTGGTACCGGTTCCTTCCTGCTTCCTCTCATCATCTGAGGAAGGAGACTCACCATTTGGCTCTCCAGCAGCTCCCTGTCAGCCTTCTTCTCCTGCAGCTCCTCGGCCTTCCTGTGGAGCTCCTGTGGACGGTTGTCATGGAAGTCAGGCAGCGACCTTCCAGCCAATCAGAAGAGCAGCTGCAGCCGTACCTGGACGTGTCCCGCCTCCTGCCTGATGTCCTCCTGGAGGCTCCTGGTGGTCTTCTGCAGCTCTTCACAGTCAGTCTGAAGCTTGACGATGGCCGACACAAAGTGCTGGAACTCCTCCTCCCTCTGCCAGACACACAAATGAGTGGAAGGTCTAACATGAGGTGCTGGTGGACCTGGTGGACCCGGGGGACCTGACTGACTCGGCGGGGCTCCCTGTCCTCCACCCGTCCTGCTTGGCGTCCATCCTGCTGCTGGAGCAGAGCGTCCACCGTGTCCTGCAGCTGCTCATGGCGCTGCAGCAGAAGTCCGAGCTTCCTGCCAACGGTAGCACAGCTGGACCTCAAAGCGGACCTCCAGGTGCTCTCACTGAGCTCCAGGTCCCGCTCGTCCTCCTGGTGGCTGCTGGACTGCATCATGTCCTCCATGGCGCCCCGCAGCTCATCCAGCTGAGGTCAGAGGGAGGAGACCAGATGTTAGAGCAGCTTGGTGAGTCCAGACCTGCAGCCGTGGGGGACCAGAGTGGACCTGCTCCTGCAGATGCTGGTCTGCAGCCTTCTCCTCCCTCTCAGCCTGTTTCTCCTTCAGATGATCCAGGTCTTTCTCCACCTTGAACAGGAAGTTCCTGCACAGCAGAGGAGGAAACATGAGAAGGTCTCTGGACCACCCAGGGTCAGGTCAGAGATTCAGGGTCTGCAGCAGATCTTCAGGATGCGTCTGTCTTTACCTGATGTAGGAGACATGCTTCCAGAGCACCTGGGCAGCGTCTCCCTTTGCCGCCACCTCCTGGCTGCTTGGATCGTCCTCCAGAGCTCCCAGCTACACAGAGACACGTCAGAACCAGAACCAGAAGAAAGAGCTGATGAGCAGAGCTTTGTTCCTCACCTTCTGCGGGTCGATCATCAGGCTCTCCGTGGAGGCGCTGTCCTGCTGCTGCTCCTCCGTCAGCTGGTTGGAGGCGCCCTGAGGAGCTGAGAGGAGAAGCAGATGTTCAGGATCTGGAGAACCGATCGCTCCGGTCCCACCTCTGAAGGCCCTGCTCTGTTCTAGAAGCTCCTGGCGTTCTTCCACGACCCTGATGTTCCCCACCGCCTCCGTCGTCTCCTGGTTCTGATCCAGATCTCCGGCTTCCTGAGGCCGAGTCGGCTCAGCGGGACTGGGAGCTGAGGTTCTGCTCAGGTCGCTGCTGACCTCAGGAGGAGTGACGTCAGCAGGTCCGGATCCAGAAGTTTGACCTTCAGGACCTTCTGCATCAGAACCTGGTAAGGCGGACTGGGCCTCATCATCCAGTCCTGGGTCTGCGGTTCTGTCGGAGCCTCTGCGGCTCCCTCCACCCTCTGACCCGGCTCCTGAGGGGGCAGGGTGAGCAGGTCCGGCCCGTTCCATGGAGGTGGGTCCATCAGAACCCGCTGAGGCGCCAAGCTGCAGGAAGCACAGAACCGAAGGTTAGTTCTAACATGATCCATCTGGGTCCGCCCCCACCGGGAGCTGATTGGACGAAACAACAGCCAGTCCCCGCCTCCAGTTTGGTTTCAGACAATCAGGTGGAGGAGGTTTCAGAGACGGATCCTTGATTCTGACCAACCAGGTGTGAGGGCAGCAGCTAAGCTCCGCCCTCCTGGTTGCCATGGTTACTCCGGTTCTATTTGGGCTCGGTACCGTCTCAGCCATACTGCGATGTGATTGGCTGACCCGTTTCGGCTGAAGCGGAGCGGGCTGGAGGTCCAGGTCCTGTAACCAGCCAGAACCTCCACCCAGACAGCTTACAGTGGCCTAGTCAAAGTCCAGAGCTACTGGGAAGGTGTGGAAAGGAAAAGCTGACATCAGAGGAAGTGGATGAATTCAGGATCCGCTGCTGCTGCTGAGGAGGATGATGATGATCTGTTGGTGGATCCCTGAACCCAGTCTCCTCCTTACCTGCTGAGGCTTCAGGTCCTCCAGATGTGCCTGAGCCGATCTCCAGGTCTCCGGGTTCTTCTGGAAGTTCTCCTCCAGGAAGTTCTCCTCCAGGAAGTTCTCCTTCGGGAAGTTCTCCCTCAGGAAGTTCTCCTTCGGGAAGTTCTCCTTCAGTAAGTTCTCCTTCGGGAAGTTCTCCTTCAGGAAGTTCTCTTTTAGGAAGTTCTGTTGGAACCAGACGACATGGACATGAGGAGTCATTCTGCACCGCGGCTCTGCAGCTCCGCTGCTTCCTGCTGACTGACCCACAGCGCCCCCACAGGACAGACAGAGGCAGCGCACACTCACCACTTCCTTCTCCAGCTCGTCCACACGGTGGCAGGACCGCTTCACCTCCGCCAAAATCTCTGGCTGCTGGGCTGCAGCCTGAGCAGAGAAGAAAACAGAAATTCAGGGCTGTGTCCGACCTGCCATTACCCTTCCGATCACGATCCGCCCCGGGATCACGATCCGCCCCGGG